TATATATACATATATATATATATTTTTTTAAGGCTTTTTCTGTTTGGCATTGATATAATTTTCACTAAGCAGGCATGACAGATCTTTAGTTTCCTCAGCACCAAAAGGGTAAGTCTATCCTGCAAAAAAAATCAATAACAAAATGCTATTTTTTGTCATTAGTATAAATTTGGAGTAGCCTATGTGAAATATGTGGATAGCCATATTATATTTAAAAGCTGACTTACTTTAATAAATGTAATTAAGAAGCAGACAGAAATCCCCAACACTGACTATTAATTTGGCAAGTCGATGGGCATCGTAGAAGAGCTGAAGGTAGGTGGCTTTGGGATCCACAATCAATTTTTTCTATTAAAAAAATGTTTTTTTTTTCTGACCATTTGTAGAATATCTTTGTTCCAAACACTTTAGACCTATTATTTATCCAGTTATTGTGATACTGATAGAGGACACTGGAATCACATGGATGATTAATTCATTCGATTATTTCTATCCTTACACATTTTTATAAAAAGGATATTTATTATATCTTCATCTTGAATGAGTCGAATGAAAAAAATACAATGATTAAAAAAAATTCAAATCATGAAGTGGAAAGAAAAATTGAGCACTTAATAATACGTTTTTGCATTGTTTCGGGGGGAATAAAAATCTCATAATTTTAAACCTTTTAAGATACTGGAAAAATATCATATCATTCTGCTGTTAAGGAAGGAAGTCTGTATAAATGCTCCAAATCAGAAAAAAGCTTTAAAGGCTTTTGGAAACAAGGTGGTGTAACGGCAGCTATTTCAATGAATATGTTTAGTTTATTAGGCTTAATTGACACCATGTTTCCTACACATTAACAGCAGATGTTTCCATGTATATGTGAACGTCGTTCTTTACTTAAAAGATCATGTTTTATCACTTAGTTTCTGGATTTCTGCATTCCTTCCACATGACTCCCTGTGCAGTGACTCTGGCAGAACGTGATGATGAGGGCTGAATCTAAACAGCTTTTTCTTTTCTTTTTTAAGCTTCATGAGGCATGAGTGCGGAGGCGGACACACAATGGACACTGAGTAATTCTGCTTCTCTGATTCCTCTGGTTCTGGGTGTTGCGAAATCTCAGAATTTCAAGAGCCTAAGTTGTAGAGTTATTCCATTTGGCTGCATGTGAGGAAGGATCCTGCCTCTAGAGGTCAGAATGAGTCATAAAACAGCAGAAAACAAGATGCCTCCTTCTTTCCTGCAGCCACTGCCTTTTGCTTTATGACTTAATATATACAGAGAAAACATCATTCATCCTGAAATATATCATTATAAATCATTAAATTAAATTAATTAATTCATTATATTATTATAATCATCACATCATTACAAATATACCTCCCAGAGTTTTTTTCATCCCCAAGTTAAGAAAGAACTTGTATGAAACTTTGAATAAAGCATTAATGGGCTATTTTTACCAAAATGATTTAAGCCTACAGACAAATATAGTCCAGGAATAAGATGATCAAACAATGTTTGAAATTGAATTATTGGAAAGCAGCACTGAACATGTACATGGTGTTTTTCATATGACAGA